ACACAGAGCAGAATAGGGGCTGTTCCTCCTACATAGGGTCACTTGGCAGATATGGATTGACACCTGTCCTAGGGATCCCTGATACACACTGACACAGAGCAGAATAGGGACTGTTCCTCCTACATAGGGTCACTTGGCAGATATGGATTGACACCTGTCTCAGAGATCATGATACACACTGACACAGAGCAGAATAGAGACTGTTCCTCCTACATAGGGTCACTTGGCAGATATGGATTGACACCTGTCCTCAGAGCCCCTGATACACACTGACACAGAGCAGAATAGGGAATGTTACCCCAACATGGGGTCACTTGGCAGATATGGATTGACACCTGTCCTCAGAGCCCCTGATACACACTGACACAGAGCAGAATAGAGACTGGTCCTCCTACATAGGGTCACTTGGCAGATATGGATTGACACCTGTCCTCAGAGCCCCTGATACACACTGACACAGAGCAGAATAGAGACTGTTCCCCCTACATAGGGTCACTTGGCAGGTATGGATTGACCTGCTGCAGAGTGAGGGAGAAAAAGACAGTTAGGAGAGTGAAAGACTATTGTGTTTATTGCAAAGCCATTTCTTTTGGAAAATTGGTAAGTGGGAAAGCCACCCAATTATAGAGAGTAATTCCTGTCTAGTAAGAGCTCAAGTAAGAGCAAGGGATTTTGTTTGTTTTGTTATTATTTAAAGCACCTGTTTTCTTATTGAATAAAAAGGAAAACCAAGCTGAATGTGTCCTGGACTTTGTATACCCTAGAAGGGTGTGGTTACTGCAAGATCTGTGACAATCCTACCTGTAAAAGAGGTGGTTGGTTACACTACTCATACAAAATCTCTTCCCAAACGTCATTTCGTTCAAAGTGGAGAGAATATTAAAAAAATATATTTTTGTTCTGAGTGTGAGAAATGCTTTTCAGCCGCTTCCAATCTTAAGCATCATTTGAGGAGCCATACGGGAGAGAAACCTTATTTTTGTTCTGATTGTGGGAAATATTCCTCTCAAAGAGGCCACTTTTATATTCAATCTATAACAGTGAAAAAAGTTTTTTGTTTTTAAATGCAAGCTATTGTGACACCAGTGAGTGAGTGGTGGTACTGGGCACAGTATCCACTGTGAGCCTGACACAGACGCTGGCAGACAACTAACTGCTATTCAATCTATAACAGTGAAAAAACTGTGAGGTACAGGGTCAAAGTTTACTCAATGATGACGAATAGGGGGCAGATCGATCCGCGCATATGTTCGCCCGCCGTGGCGAACACGAACATGCTATGTTCGCCAGGAACTATTCGCCAGCGAACCGTTCGGTGCATCACTAGTGGTAACCCTTAACCCTCCTAACCTCACCTATGTTTATTACAGCTCAGTTCTCAATATGTTAAAAACACCGCACCTATTCTCCTAATAATGTTCTCCCTTCTATTTTTCACTTTCTCCCTCACTTCCCTCATTATTAAAATGTATCTATCCTTTTACTTACCTGTTCCTGCTGACACCATCTTCATTGCTCCCTCTCTACTTCACTCATCTCTGTATTCATCATATGCACTTTACCCTTATTTATTCAGCCTTTCTCCACAAACCTCTCCTAAATCCCCTAAATACAAGCTCTAATCCCAAACATTTAAATCTTACTCCCACCTTCCTTTCTATCCTACTGCTCCTGGCAGCTGGTGATGTCTCTCCAAACCTGGGTTCCTCCTCTACTAAGCCACCTGGTGCTAACACCAGAAACAACAACAATCTCATCTCCATTCCATGTAACTCTAACTATAATTCCTCCTTTAAAGCTGCCCTCTGGAATGCACGCTCTGTGTGCAGCACCATTAAATCAACCATCCATGACCTATTTATCTTAAACATCCCAAACCTACTTGCACTAATGGAAACATGGCTCTCTCCCTCTGATACTACTACCCCTGCCTCACTATCCTTTGGTGGTCTTCACTTTACCCACAACCCAAGACCGGCTGAGAGTAAAGGTAACGGTGTAGGAATTCTGCCTTCACCCGCCTGCTCCTTTAAAACTCTGCCCACCCCCCCTTCCCTATCTTTCTCCAACTTTGAAATTCTCTCAAATTCACTGTCATCTATTGCCCGCTTGGTTCCAATAGTCTGTTCTTGACCATTTTTCTGTTTGGCTTCCCTACTACCTTTCAAGTAATATCCCTTCCCTAATTTTCTGAGATTTCAACATTCCCATTCCACATTCCCATTAGTTTCCAAACTCCCTTATATTGCCTCCTTTCTTGGTCTATAATAGTGGGCTAATACTTCCACACATGTAGCTGGCAGGGCAGCACTGTTGACCAGCACCAAGCAGAGCACACTTTTATTTTACTTAAGTGCCTATGTGCTTTCTTTTTATTTGTATCTTTATATTTGGGTTATTTCACTAAAATAAAAATTTAGTTAGATGAGATTTAAGCATATAAATATGCTTAAAATACATGTTTCCAGTTGGTTGTGAACCTATCACATCTTCCATTTTAGTGAACAGATGCAAAGTATAGTGGAACACCCTCCTTGCTGTATGTTAGTGTGCAATGCATGCTTATTATAGAAAACTTTCAAGCATAGACTTATTAGAAAATAACATTATTATCATTATTATTATTATTAGTGTCTCGTTATGATATGAGCTCATATGTGACAGTAGTGTGAAATAAGCATGTTTTGCATTCTGGTTTTGGACATTAATTATATGGGTAATCATTGAGACACCTAGTGGTGCCAAAACCTGCACATGAGGAGAATTGAATGCTTCTGGGGTTTTAATTGAACATCGACAACACGAATTAACATATGTGTATGCCTATAACAAGCAATTACTAGATATGGCTGTTAGCTTTTTTTTTTTTTTTTTGTAAATTATATGAAAGTGGCTATTTTAAATGTAGACAATAGACGAGGGAACCAGATTATGACTACTACTTATTAACAAAGATAAATATCGAAGTATTTAATAGATGCACATACGGTTATCACTGAAACAATAAATGAATCTTCATATTCAGTAAACAGCCTTGAAACTAAGTCACACTCAAAATTCATTAATCTATCGAAAAAAAAAAGTTATCTTTGTTTGTAGTCAAATTAATTTGCTACTGTCAGCAAACACCATCCTTGTCCGCACAGAGCGGTCGGACTTGCTGTTTCCCGTTTACCCGTTGAATGCCGATGACAAATGCAATTCTTTGCTTTGGAATTTGTTCACGTTTCTCTCTCTCTCTCTCTCTCTCTCTCTCTCTCTCTCTCTCTCTCTCTCTCTCTCTCTCTCTCTCACACACACACACACACACACACCTCTCTCTCTCTCTCTCTCTCTCTCTCTCTCTCTCTCTCTCTTTCTCTCTCTCTCTCTCTCTCTCTCTCTCTCTCTCTTCCCCCTTTTCCATCATTAACCCGTTTATTACTATGTGCTGACCAATGCAACGTTAGAGATGCATTGGCAATCAATGCAAGGGTCAACATTGACTGTCTAACTTAAAATTCATGAGGCTTAATTCATGCTGCCCTTTACTGAATGTATTTTGTTTGAGATGCCGATTGTCTTTTGATGAACTCTTCCTGCTTCAAATAATATCTGTGAGTCCATGCAAAGCATATATAAATGCATATATATCTGTGTTTGTATTGTTAATAAAACAAAATAACTGCAATGCATGCATACTGCATACACAGATGGAAGCTATTAAATCGGGAATGATAAGTGGTTTAGAGAGACCTTATTGTTATTCTGGAAAATGGAGGATATTGGATGATATAAAACCCCTCCCAAAATGTGACTAGACTGCAACTGAATGGTTGCTGTACAAAGATCCAGGTTGAAACAGATATCCCTATGCTAGCTATGGCTTCATTTTTCATTTCTACATTCCTTGAGAAAAAAAAACACACACACATTCAATGCGATTTGTCGCCTTGTACCGCCATCTGTCGGTACTCAATCTCCATTCTCACCCACGAATGTGTCTTTTTTTCAGTTGGTTAAAAATGACACTGCTTGCTAATAAACAAGTATATTAGCTAAGCATCTCCGTTCTAAAACTTAAACGGAATCCTTGCCACTTCTGGGGACTGGATATCCAAGACATCAGGAAGATCAGGCATTGCAGAGGTTAATGGCATCAAGGACATTGCCAGAGCAACAACACGGTCACTTACTGCCATGGTAGACTGGAGAAGTGTAATAGGAGAATGATTAATCACTAATAATCTTACAGGATAAAGAGATGCAATTGTATGCAAGTGATAGGTGCTTGGATGCCTTGGAAAATACTGTAGCAAAACAAAGAATGGCTGATGAGCAGGCAGAGAGTCTTGGATCTGTACAAGATGTTCCTATCTGTCTCACCATAACAGGCATATTATAAGAACTTTGTCATATGCCAAACTGGAAACACAAATGCCACATGAAGACAGATGGAGTGTTTTAGCATCCACTGCTGATCTATTTTGCATGCCAGAAGGCATTAAATATTTCAGGGTGAAGGGGTGGGGGCTAAGGGGGGTGACAGGTGCAAGCATAACTCACATTATTCTGAAATAAAACACTATTAGAAATCCAAAAGCTAACAGCACCCACTCTTTCTATTTCTCTTCCGCCATCATCCACATGATCCATCGGTAAATGGCCGTGAGCAAACAAGGCACCAAAGGGGCGTCAGACATGTATTCGCATACAATCTAATTAGTACACATGAAATGCACTTATATCGCTCCCCAAAAAAAAAAAAGGAAAAAGAAAAAAATCAGATCAGTTCTAGAATAAATGAGTAAGCTGACTGTAGAGGGGGAGAAATAAAACGCTTATGCAGAATAAAATAAAGTGAGTTCTAGGGATCTGTGAGTGTAGTTGTTGACTAGATTGATTTGCAATGCATCGGAGAAACTAGCGGGTTGTCAAGTTGATAACTAGAAAGGCTGAGTCTGCTCAGTGTTGGTCCTCATCCACCCTACCTACTCCCAAAACTCCTCCCCTCCGTGGCTGAAACGCACTGTCCCCCATCCCCCTTTCTCTCTCCCGCTCTATCTCCTCTCTTCTTCCTATCTCCCTCTATCTGCTCTCTCTCTCACACACATTCCCCCTCTCTCACTGCAATCCCTTCGGGTTAAATCATTTCACAATGGCTCGCTTGAAGCCGGAGGACCCCCTGTCGGGCTGTGAGTGTGTGTCTGTCTGTCAGTAAGTGCTGGTCAGCCTGCATTTCGCAGCCAAGTGCTGGAAGAGCCGCCTCTTCTCCTGCCACCCCAATCACACCACCAGATGCATTTTTTATGGCTTTCCGCGATGTTTGGGCCCTGGAGACTGCTGTCTGAGTGAGTATTGGGATTTAGCCTTCTAATGTGGATCAGGGCTAGGGTTCCATTGCAGTTCCAATGTAGTTTTTTTTTATATATATTTTCTCCCTGTCTGCTCCCTAGTCGGTCCCCGTTCCATTGGTATGATCCAGGCAACATACTGTAATTTTGTTGGAGTCTGCTCAGAAAGGCTAAGGTCTGGATCCACTGTTTCATGTCGGTTGCAGTGCAGACATCTAGGGTTTGGAAGGGGTTACTTCTAAGATGTAATAGTCAATTCAATGGCTTATGTGGAAATCTGGCAAATGAGGGGTTAACCTGCCTTTACGGAAAAGGGTTATGAACCCTATACCTCGCATTTCTGGTAAGCAATCGTAATTAAATTAAAGTTGCAACACATTTGGAATTGGAAACGGATGATTAACCGGACAAGCAGAGCCATAGATATTTTTTTTTTTCTTTGCCACATACTCTTGGCAGGAATGGTTTGGAGAATGAATAGATTTAAGAAGCATTTGGAAAGGTATGAATACTGTTATTAACTTCCTACCAGTCACATATTTCAGTGGGCTCTAGGCTTCTGTTTCACCTTGTGAAGATGCCATGATATTTTTTTGCTGCCGATGATGCTTTGATTTGGATTACCATTAGGGTTTTTATTGCAATTACAGCTTGTTGCCGTGTAGAATATAGGAATAAATTTTTTGTAGGGTAGCAAAACAAAAAGTCGATGTTTCGTGCATGAGGACTACATGGATGCTGGCAGGAGCCTACCATCAGCCCAGTCATGCTTTCTCCATGGATAATGTTCTCTATACAGGTTTACTTATAAGACGTATTTATAGAGTGGGCCATACATCGATTATGCGGATAGTTGAGCTTTTTTTTTATTATTATTCGACATGGTTGTGGGTGGGCTTTGTCAGCATCTCAGCATCTCAGTGCAATTGTGTTTTTCTTACCTTGGGTACCATCCATCCTTCTCTGTAATAGACAGTGATGTGAGGGGTACGAACAATGGAGGAAATAGAAATGATGTATTTGATTTCCTGCACTAAGCCACTTCTACATCACCTATAAAGCAAATTATACATGGCTAAACATGATGCTCTGTGAATGCGTGTGTATGTGTTATTGTATCTCCGTTAAGCGGCAGCATACAGCATGCAATCATTAACTATTAAGCGTGCGTCTCCATTGGCTTTTAACATCGTTATGGCTAGCCTTCAACTGAGACAGATTACCATTAGACCCTATAAAATAATACCACGAGATTCCATTCTATTCTATATGGATACAATCGTGTAACAGAATCCATTCTCTTCCAAATAGGCAGTGAAAGCATACATGGACGAGCCTTGTATTTGAGCAGCGCAGTGTAAGCTCCCCCACAAAGTGCCATTTTGCTTATGAATCCGATTAGCATTGTAAAACCAACATAGTTTGGATGACGATTATTTCCGTCTCCCAGGCTGATTGTTTCATCTTTGTGTAATCATTACATTGCCACTCGGATTACCGTTCGAAGAAAAAAAAAGCTTTGCTATGATGTATTGATGAAATCAATTTCCAGTTCTGATTAACCCCTTCCTTTTTGGGTGCGAGAGATTGCAACGCATTGCGGTAGAAAAGAGTTGATAGGCTGTGAACTTCAAGTGGATTCATTGTAACAAGCATGTATCCCTGTGTTTATAAATAGAACGTTGAGATGTTTCAGTGCGCTGTTCAGTGGAGCGGTGCTGAAAGGGAGATGGCTATACGGGATAGGTAAAGTGGGGAAACATCTCAAGAAGCACAAGTGACAGCCATTTTATGTATACTTATGGATGATCATGAAAAATCATAATCGTGTACCTTTGCCATTGAAAAACTGCCTTAAAAAAAGGATGAAAATAAGCTATTTTGGCAAGCATTTGCCTTCTTTTATGTTGCCGATGGATGTAATGAAGACATTGAGAGACACATTTATCTAAATTAGACTGTATTATTTATATATCAGTTTAGATGCCTGTGTTTGTCAGACACCTAGCTTGCAAAGCATGCAGCATCTATCTGTGTATGCAACTTGGTTATGTGTATCTGCAAACATTACGTTTAAAATGTTTTTGTATTTTCCCCCTAGGAGGTAATATGTACTATTGCTGCTCCTCAGTCACGTCTGACCAGGACTTAAACAAGAAAATGCAGATGTGGATTTTACAGACGATTGCATTTGCTTTAACATCCCTCGTTCTTTCTTGGGCAGAAACAGTAGAATATTATGGAGAGGTTTGTGAAAATTCGTGTCCTTGTGAGGAGCGTGATGGCATATTAACTGTAAATTGTGAGAACAGAGGAATCATCAGCCTTTCTGAAATTACCCCTCCACGCTTTTCAATATATCATCTTTTGCTCTATGGGAATCTCTTAAATCGTCTTTATCTAAACGAGTTTGTCAATTACACAGGAGCTTCTATATTGCATCTCGGTAGTAACGACATACACGATATTGAAATTGGGGCTTTTAATGGACTCCAGGGTCTAAAGAGGCTGCACTTGAACAACAACAAGCTGGAACTTATAAAAAACGACACGTTCCATGGCTTAGAAAGCTTGGAGTATTTGCAAGTAGATTATAATTATATCATCGCTATAGAACCCTATGCTTTTATTAGGCTGCATTCACTGCAAGTGTTGATACTGAACGACAACCTTTTGTCCTCTTTGCCTAATAATCTTTTTCGTTTTGTCCCCTTGACTCACCTAGACTTGAGAGGGAACAGACTTAAAGTCCTTCCCTTCCTGGGTCTGTTGGAGCACATGGATAAAGTGGTGGAACTGCAACTAGAGGAGAACCCCTGGAACTGCTCCTGTGAATTGATTGCCCTTAAAGATTGGCTCTACAGCATCTCCTATTCTGCTTTAGTGGGTGACGTGGTCTGTGAAACTCCTTTTCGACTTTATGGGAGAGACCTGGACGAGATCTCCAAACAGGAATTATGTCCAAGGAAATTGATATCTGTATATGAGATGAGACCTCAAATTCCTCGGAGTACCAATGAGTACTTCCATACTACTCCAGCCTCAGTGAATTCCGGTGCCACTCCCTCATCTCATGTTTACAAACCCCCCACGAAACCCAAAAGCACACGGCAGCCTAATAGATATAGAGTAAGGACCACATCACACCACCCTCCCAAAGATACTGGATATAGCATAAGCATAGCTTATCAGACCAAATCCCCAGTGCCTTTGGAGTGTCCTACTAACTGCACTTGCAATTTACAAATCTCCAATCTGGGACTTAATGTGAACTGCCAAGAGAGAAAGATCAACAGCATCTCTGACTTGCACCCCAAACCTTACAACCCCAAAAAGATGTACTTGACAGGAAACTACATCAGTTTGGTTCGCAGGACTGATTTCACTGAGTCTACAGGATTGGATCTTCTTCATCTTGGGAACAATAGGATATCAGTTATTCAAGATAGAGCCTTTGGGGATTTAACTAATTTACGTAGACTGTACTTAAATGGCAATTCTATTGAAAAACTGACACCAGAGTTGTTTTATGGGCTTCAGAGCCTTCAGTATCTGTTCTTACAATATAACATTATTAAGGAAATCGAACCAGGGACATTTGATGCTGTCCCCAACCTTCATCTTTTGTTTCTGAATAACAACCTTTTAAAATCTCTGCCAGGAAACATTTTCTCCGGATTGAGTCTTTCACGGCTGAATCTCCGAAGCAACCATTTCTCACATTTGACAGTGAGCGGTGTATTAGACCAACTCAAATCTCTGGTACAGATCGATTTGCATGAAAACCCTTGGGATTGCTCCTGTGATGTTGTAGGCATGAAATTGTGGTTGGAGCAGCTAAGTGTTGGGGTGCTGGTTGATGATGTCATCTGCAAATCCCCCAAGAAATTTGCACTAAAAGAAATGAGATCCATCAAATCTGATCTTCTCTGCCCTGATTATTCTGATATCAATGTCCCTACTCCAACCCCATCCGACGTGCAACCCCTGGAGAGCACCACCACTTTGGTCCACCCCATTAAGTTCAACAATGTATCCAGCACTGTGCCCTTGTCTGTGCTGATTCTGAGCCTGCTCTTGGTTTTCATCATGTCGGTGTTTGTGGCTGCAGGCCTGTTTGTCCTTGTGATGAAAAGAAGAAAGAAGAATCAAAACGACCCAGCCAGCACCAACAACTCAGACGTGAGTTCCTTTAACATGCAATATAGTGTCTATAGCAACAGACCCCTACCCAAAGTAAAGACCCCAGCAGGGCACGTTTATGAGTATATCCCCCACCCTCTAGGTCACATGTGCAAGAACCCCATCTATAGATCGAGGGAGGGGAACTCAGTGGATGATTATAAAGATCTCCATGAACTTAAGGTCACCTACAGAAACCACCTAGAAGAAGAGAGGGACAATAATATCAGGAGTCCTAGCTACAGTGTCAGCACCATCGAACCTAGAGTGGAGCTTTCTCCTGTACAAGATACTGATCGAGTTTACCGAGGGATTTTGGAGCCGGATAAAGGACCATCGCCGGGGAATAATATCGATTATAAGTACAGCAACCCTGCTGCGTACACCTTTGCACCCAAGTATGAAGCAAAGCGTCAGTTCTTGCATCCGGACAGGTTAAGGGAAGCGGTGCTTTACAGCACCCCTAGTACTGTCTATGTGGAACCTAACAGAAACGAGTATCTGGAATTAAAAGCAAAACTAAACGTTGAGCCGGATTACCTCGAAGTGCTGGAAAAACAGACAACTTTTAGCCAGTTTTAGACTCCTATCTACAGTGCTATCTGTGAAATAAAGGACTATACGACGTTTTTGTTGCTTCAACCTTCGGATGAAGTGCCTTGGCACAAGATTTTCAGCTGCAGAAAATTATACTGAAAGGGTGTGCAATTTTTTTTCTAAAACAATATCTATTGTATAAACTGGGCACAACATTTACTGTTTGCAAGCGTTCTCCAGTGGTCTATTTCTGCAGCCTGAGAATTATTGAGTTGGAATCACTCCGGGTGCTAGGAGGTATATATGAAAAATAAACCACATATGCTATATAACCCTTCAGATAAGGGTGGGTCTAAATGACTTTTATGGTGTTTTAGAACCCCCTCCCCTAAGTTTAATATAAAAGTAAATTTTTACAGGATGTATTTGTATGCTTTCTGGACTTTTGAAGTAAAAATCTAAATGATGTACTCTACTACCATCTTTATGCATCACCATAGATGGTATAAACAAAATACTTAAGTTCAAAGACATAGAATCCATAACTTGGTTAGTCAAAATAACTTATTGTTGAAATATGAAATATTTTAATGTAGCACCTATTTTTATATGCACATTAGCATTTATTTTTTTCTTCTTCACTATTCCAGTCTTTGATTTGCTCAAATGTGTTGCACTACATAAAAAAAAGGAAATGTCTAGAGCATATATAGGCTGATCATGTAAGATAAAAATAACAAAGATGACCAAAATATATAGAACAAATCAAATGGTCATTGGTCAGAATAAATGGATTGATTGTTTTATGAAATATATATATATATATATATATATATATATATATATATATATATATATATATATATACTCAAAAGAATGCTGAATCCTTAATGGGCAATTCATAGGCCAGAATAGTGAGAGATACACAGACATTCTTGGTATTAGGAGGAAAATTATTTCATTTCATTAGTGAACCAAATGTAATTACTCGACTACTGTTGTAGCCAAATTCAGCTGCACTGTACAGATTGATTGGTGTGTGTCCTGTCAACTGGTAGGTTTGAAATATGGAATGTGGAAGCTTAAAAAAAAAAAAGTATTTTTTTCATTTTTATAAAAAAAAAAGTAGTGCAATGGAACTTAACATGCAAGCTCATATTAGAAATAAATATCCATATCAGTATTCATTTGATCTTCATATGATTAAAAAAAAAAAAAAAAAAAAAAAACTTAAAAAACATATATGACTACAGTGTCAATTTGGTATTTATACCATCTTGTTTTATTTAATTCTCAATAACAAATTCAATGTGAAGACATTAAAACTCTACAAATAGTTACATTGTTCAAGGAAATTTCATTTTTTATTATTATAATTTTTTTTTTTAGACATTAAAATGTCTGCTTAATTTTTTTATGCTTGGCAATGATTTGTCATTTAAATTTGCAACAGGGTAAGCAGTGACACACGCATACACAAACACATACACAGTACAAAGATATGCACACATGCGATTACTGTATAGATCACAAATATAAAGAAAATATATTATAGCACTGACACCATAGAATCTAATCAGGATTTATCCACTTAGAGTGGGAAGTCTATTATGGTAATCCAAATCAAGTGTATGTATGACCTCAAAAATAACTAGTTTGTAGATAATTCCTCAAAATTTTATATTTTGCATCCTGAGATGTTATATCTCATATGCAATGACCTACTTATTGAATATACTTATTTATGAATTCTTCCATGAAGATCTATTTGTTGACATGTTGTGCTTTGTATTCCTAACTTTCAAATTACAATCTAAACAGAGATATGCAACTTTTCAAAAAACTGCCCTTAAAATTATTTTTATGAACTATAAAATGATAAATATCAATTTTAGCTTTCTGCTTTATCTATTACTATAATAGAAAAAAACATATTTATCTTACTGTTTTATTCAGTGTTCTTAAAGGGTTACATCATCATTATTTTTTCTTTTTTAGATTTTAAAGAAAAAATAAGCCACTACTTTAGCATTTCTCCCAAAATGATCACATTCATATGATATTGTGTATATTATTTATTTGAGGATGTTGCTTTGCCTTAATTTGCAAGAATTAATAGAAAATTTATAATTTTAGGGAAAAAAATATAACAAAGTCATTGACTTTCAAAAAGTAGACATCATTTAATTATGTTACTTAATGTGTTGGTAGAGAGAGAGGTGCAAATCCCTCAGTCACCTAAAGAGCTACCACATGAGGTCTAATCACAAGACAGTGAGCAGTGGTAGGTGGGCAAGTGACTTGCAAAATCTTAACAAAATAGCCAATGGCCAGCTTAAAAAAGTTAGAGCTTTATACAACTCAGCTAGTTTTGTCTAGACGTTTCAAGTTATTTTTTTTTAACACAACCCAACTCTTTCTTTTGATATTAAACATATATACATATATATGTGTGTATATATATATATATATATATATATATATATATATATATATATATATATATATATTTAAGGCAAGGTTCAAATATGTTTTTAAGTTTCAAATTTTTTTTTTCAATAAGTGTATTTTTAAGTCACCTTCAGTAATATTATTTCCCAATTTACTGGTTTTGTGTATGCTTTAATCGAAAAGTTTAATATAATTATTGCATATTTTGGCAAATACCAATAAAGATTTTTGCATTATATAATTTTTCTGCTTACTATTATAAGGGCATAGTCACTTTAAAAACACAAAACACAGTAGTGTTGCATTAAATAAAAATGATGTCAATCTCTTTAACCAAGATAAATGTGTATATTTTACAGGAACAGCAAAGGGTACACATCAATCATTTGTCTATATACCAAACACCTTTGCTGATGTTATTTTCTTTATACATGAGAAATGAAAAGGCAGGATACTATAAGGCAGCTTTGTAATGTATGAAGGATGTTATTTTATTTACATTCAAACATTTTGTTTGGTGATATGTACTTTATTTAATCTACAAACTTTTGGGATTTCAATGTAAAAATATATTTTAAGAAATTAAATAATTCTATTAAAATTAAATTGGATGATACCAATCTGTATTACAGCATTTATGCATTTGTTACAGAACATTTCTAACTGCAATGTTTACAACTTCCATGTATCATTCTTTTTTCATTTCCGTGCCATACGTATTAGTCTACAGATATATAAATTACATTTTCAACAAAGGCCTACTGTACCAATCATCAGCCTGTGGCTGAGATTCCTCTCTGGCACTAATTTTAGGGGGACCTGTTTTGTCGAAGAAACAATTCAATTTAATATTTGATAGCCATTGTTGTCATTGGAGATATTTGCTGTATGAAATGCTGATATTATAGGCTGTTGATTAGAAAGGTAATTTACTAGCAGTGTTTTATCATATGAAGGTTGAAAAATCTGTTACGTAAAATAGCCTAAATGGAAAATGTATTATTATACTTCCAGTTTTTCTAATTTGGTTTAAGATTTGCAATTCCCTTGTCTAGTCTATGCAATTCCCGGTTTAGGGAACTACCTTAATAAATTTGAAAATGTGTTCAACGGGGCCAATGTTAGAGCAACAGAGGGAAGCAGTTTACAGCACATAACTGTGAAGTGTTGACTCTATGATGGGTTGGGTAGGAGAGAATTTAGATTCAATTCTTTTATTTGAGTATATTCTGTAAGCTTTAAAGAATGTTTCTCAATGGATAAGCCTTGCTGTTTGTATTGATTTTATGATGTTGATTGTTTAATACTGGTATTAATATGACTCAAATTACCAACGTAAATGCATTGCTTATATTATACCTTCCAAATGTACATTGCTCACAAACAGATCATGTTATGGTGCCAGCATTGTGACACCTTCTTGGTAAATATGCTTTACTAATATCCAGTGACTTTTATTTGTTTTTATGTTGCACTGATATGAAGATCCTGTGTCTCAATGGTAATACCGATTTCCTGTAGAAATTTCTAATTTTGCACAAAAAAAATAAAAAAAAAATAGGAAAGGTACATTTAGATTGATACCCGTTTTCAAGGTGTGGGTCTTTATATGTATTATTACCCAACTTAATACTACTCATATTAATGATCAGGGAAAGCAGAAAGACTGAGTTGGCATTGCAAGTAATCAGACTTGTGACAATATGATGCTGCAGTTGCCTTATTTAACTACTAAGCTGGTAAGTTACATTAGGTATCAACAAAGGACTACTGATAAGTGTTTGTTTATGTCTGTTTCCATTCTCCCCTATATTGTTTACTGGAAAAGTAGCTGGTTTTGAACAGAATATGGTATCACATGTGGTTTAATGGGCAGTGCTCCACCATCTTAAACTTCTGCAGCTGCCACAACTCTGCAGCAATGGTTATGGAAAGAAAGCATATTTATTCTGAGTTCTGTTGTAATATACAACAGTGTCATTTAAATCATTGTAGAAAATATTGGTTGTCAATATTGGTTATTCTTTTTGTGTATAGAGAACATTCATGTTGTGAATCATGCTTTTTTTGTAGGATTCACTCTCTCACATCATACTGCAGATGTATAGCCTGACTTGGGTCATGTAAACTTAAGCTGCAACTGCCCCATAAATGCCCATAAATATAATAATAATAATAATAATAGGCTCATAATTTCAAACGTTATGTTAATAGACAGGCCTACAAGTTATTGCCCACTGCACACATTGAAGGTCCATGGTACACTCCTAAGGATGAACTTTTATTCACCAGGGATGACTTTTTATTCTGAAATGGCTAGTGGGCGAATGGAAATTTAATTTACAGGGCAGGATATAAAAACCTCTAAAGCAAGTTAACACCTGATTGAAAATTAAACCTTTTATTTTTCATGCAGGCTATGTCAGTCACAGAGGAGCTGTTGCTAGGGCTGCATAAACAGAAACAAAAGAAATTTCACTCCTAAATGGTAGAGAATTGAGAAGTGAGACTCCATGAACATTATCTATACCCCCAAACTGCTTTATTAAGCTAACATTGTTTTGATGCCTCAATTATCCATTTATTAGAGTAACTATGTATTCTGGATGGTGGGTGCACTAGATTAGCTGCTATGAGGCCTGCCTGGCAGGAAATAAAGCAAGTATAAATTGTTAATATCCTGAATGCATAGACTCAATAATAGAATGTGTATAGACCCTTAATTTATTTAGAATTTTCACTTTAGTGAATAAATATCTAAGTATCGTCTAATGCAAAGTACTCTTTACTAAAACCCCTTAGTGTACTTATCCGTTTTTAGTGGTAATTTCCTTTGGCCTTGGGTCAGCGCTCCACCTCCTCTGACATCACCCGACAGGGTGGGCTAATTTAATGCGCAAGCGCCGCAATCGCAGTAGGTCCTTTCCTTGGAAGGCATTGCTGCAATGCTTTTCTGTGGGTTTTTCTGTGATGTTGGACATCCAGCACCAGTTAGGAAACCAAAAGTTGCTTAGCAAGCAGGAAGTGCCTGTAGTGGCTGTCTGACTGACTGCCATTAGTGACATTCTTACTCTTGCAATGTAACTGAAACTGCAATAATTAACATTGCATGACTAAGGGGGGCTGGGATACTGCACCCAGACCAGTTCAATGACCTGAAGTGGCCTGGGTGTCTAGGGTGTCCCTTTAATGATGCTGTACTGATGCTGCACTGCTGAGTAAACCGCAATACTACTGTGCAGGTACATGCTGACCAAAAGCACCAAAAGTATAGCTAAACTGGAGAATTGATCAATTTAAGCAGTATTGGCCTAAAACATGACATTTACTTTGAATGTCTTACATTTTTCAATCTAGTAAATAAACCAGATTGCATTATTTAAACAGTAAAATGGAAAAAGCAAATTTGCTTAGCTTTGCTTATCAATGTATATATGTGTTGAACTGACAAATCTACTACTTTATATTTCTGAAAATAAAGTATTTACAATTTTCTTAGTAGTGCTAGGAAATTAAGGCAGCATATTCTTTTAATCATGGCTGTAGTTGTCTAAACAGAAATAAACTTTTTTTTCTAATAATTTGATGATAATTTCTTCTAGAAAAATTAAAGAGTTACTCCAGTCACCATGATCACTGCTGCTTTTAGAAATGGTCATGGAGGTAGAACTCTGTATATGTAGCACTTCTGCTTGAAACACAGCATATACAGAGTTAGTGTCGGGGGCTTGTTTCACCCATGATCTTTATTCTGGGCTACCTAATGTAAAATCAGTGCAAGAATTACATCTGTCATCAGCACATAGTGTGCACTGGTGACAGACCTTAACAGCTTTTACAAAAAAAAATTGAATGACTCAGGAAGACTTTGAAGGTCAAAATGGGATTGCTACTACAACTGGGAACTGTTTGCTGTGACGGACTGGCAAGGGTGTCAGCTTGCCCAGTGGTAAGAGATTGGTCCAATCATATGCTTATCTATGAGAAGCATTTGATTGGACCATGGAGAGGTAAGGAGTGTTCTTGTATAGGACGTGGAAGACCCGTGGCCAGCACAGAATTCTAGGAAAGTTATTCCTTGGTTTACATGGCTTTTTCTTTTAAATAAAAAGGGGGTAGACAAGCTACAAGTTCACAGTAGGTGATTCTAGAATCAAATAAATATGGCATAAAAAAAGGATTGGAGTAATACTTTAAGTTTCAGTAGTGTCACATGCATTATTTTTTAGATGAAGGAATTCTAAAGTGTTAGGGATACAAAGCTGTGTTCCTAACACTATAGTGTCCCTCTGCCCCTTTAAAAACGTACCTAATTCCAGGTCAAGGTGGGCTGTGGCATTGAGTTTGGCTCCTCCTCCTCTAATGTCAGCCAATGAGGGGAACCTAATGCTCATGTGCAGCGAGTGCCTCACACGCATTAGACCTTCACATTAGAAAATTATTTTTGCCAATGGGTTTTTCACCATGCTGCAGGTCCTCATGCAAAGCGTGAGAATGTCCAGTGTTGTTTCACAGAGTCAAACTATGTGAAATTGCAGGAAGCACCTCTTTTGGCTGTCTGGTAGACTGCCAATAGAGGCAGTCTTAATACTGCAATGTAACCACAACAAGGTCATGACAACATGCATATATTTAAGGAAAACCTTTACAAAATTTAATTTTCTTGTGGTAAGTGAAAAGCTCCCAGAAATCATATGTTATGTTATCCATGTGTATAAAGAGGACCAAAAAAATACACTTTATGTATACATGGATTAATGCTCAAATTAATAGAGTGCTGATGGAATCTTATTGGAAATTTGTCGGTGTCAATTTACTAAATGTTGAGATGGCAACAAGGTTTTGTTCACAATTGTTCAAGTTGGCTGTATCAACTAGCCTGAATGCATTATATTTACTTGCAGCTGAGAAGTGATCTAAACTAATCAGAAATAACCTGGGGGATCCCAGACCTGCATAAAAAGTTATGACTACGATAAAGAACTGAAAATGTATATGATCTGGCTAGTCATGTATACATCCATTTATTCATCATGTTTGCCTTTGTCTTAATTTTGTTAGTTGTTCATATTTCTTGATGTTCTGAACTTTGCTCAGTGTACAGACTTTGAGTTACTTGGCAAAGTTAGTGAATACCTGAGTTTATTTGCATTAATTCTAATTTTGTTTTCAATTTGAGGATGGTTGAGCCAAAAAGCATAGTCTATGGTAGAATATTGAAAATTACTTTGATAATTCTTATAATATGCAGCATTTTCTCCTAGCCAAACGTACAAACTTTTTTTTAATCACATAAGACCTCTGGGTCTATAGTTCTTCTTGAATTCTGTTCAATGTAGAAATAATTTAGAGGACCCATCTGTAATGAGCAATACTATTTTTCAGAAAACTTGTGTATTGTATTCCCTAATCTATATTAGATGGCATGTCAGACATTAAGATTGCAAGATATGGAGTGAAACTCTCTGTGGTTTTCTTCCCCAGCTTTAAAATCACATTTTTGTCTCCTATGTATTCTAAGTTTCGCTACATTAATGAAGATAACTTTGTCTACAATGAAGGTAGCAAAATGTTTTCACTTTGGCTGGGAGACAGCTTCTTTTATTGCTGCAAATGGGTGTATGCATTCTGTCCAGAGAGTGGAGTTGATACATTCCTGTAGAAAATGTTTTTCGAGTAATATTTGATGTTATGATTAATCAGTGTAAACTTTAATTCAAGTCCTCTCCTTAACATTTTTATTTTATTTCTTTTTTATTTTATCAAGCCAAGGATAAACTGCTGTTGTTTTTTGGAAATGTGTTCAATCCTATATTCCGTTGTCATGCTCTTTATGTTGCGTCAATTAGAGGACATGGGTCCATGACACAAAACCAAGTCTATCTTTAAGCCTGACTTTTATGGCATCATGTGGTTTTATGAGAGTATCCAAGTGATCTCATTCTAGTG